ACCCTGAGGAGACCCACTCTGTGGGAGCGTACCGGTCTATGGGAGGGAATCTGTGGCAGAAGGCGGTCTCGGAGATAGCCAGGCCCAATGCCATGGAGCGCTTTAAAGGTGGTAACTAACACCTTAAAGCGCACCCGGAAGGCCACTGGCAACCAGTGCAGCTCGCGCAGCAGCGGTGTTACATGGGAGCGACGAGTCCTTCCCAACACCGCCCGCGCGGCCGCATTCTGGACCAGTTGAAGCCTCCGGGTGCTCCTCAAAGGGAGCCCCATGTACAATACAGGTAGTCCCCCACTTACAACAGTTCATTTAGTGACCATTCAAAGTTACAACGGCATTGAAAAAAGTGACCTATGACTGTTTTTCACACTTACAACCACTGCGGCATCCCCTGTGGTCACATGATCAAAATTCAGACACTTGGCAACTGTCTCATATTTATGACGGTTGCAATGTACCAGGCCATGTGATCAGCTTTTGAGACCTTCTGGCAAGCAAAGTCAATGGGGAATCCAGATTCACTTAACAAAGGCAATGGTTCACTTAACAACCATGGCAAGAAAAGTCATAAAATGGGGGAAAAACTCACTTAACAAATGTTTCATTTAGCAACATAAATTTTGGGCTCAATTATAGTCATAATTCAAGGACTACCTGTGTAATATGGCAGTTGAGAAAAAACCATCAGGGATATCAATATAATCAGCAGGCCTATGCACAAAGCTAGGTCTTCAAAGCCTTATGAAAAGGTCAATAGGGTTGAAGTCATCCTCAGCCCCAGGGGAGAATGTTCCAGAGGCCAAGGGCACACCTCCCAGTACCTCCCAGCTGACATTCCTTCGCTGATGAAACCCACAGTAAACTCAATCTGCCAGACTGAATTTCTGTTACAACTCTACAAACATTTCCATATTCCATTCTTCTTCTCCACAAACAGGAACTTACTAATTATCAAAGAGAGGGGGAAAGGGATGGAGGCAAAGGGGTAGGCTGTCCCCCATTTATAGCCTCTCCTGTAAACAGCAGACCAATTCTCACAGCTGCCAAATTGCAAGAGAGAGAAAAATGTCACAGAATGAACCATGACTTTGTACATTCCTCCAACACTACCTACGACATCAGAAAGCCAGCCATTTAGCTTTGAAGTCTTGCACTGCAAGTCATCTTGTTACCACAGGAGTCTGTTGAGGTAGGCAGGAGAGACATCACAGGAAACTTCTATGACTAGTAATTTACACGGAAAAACTCCTCTGAACCTACGTCTCACCTCCAAAGGGTTTATACCAAATGCCACATGTATGATGTGTGACATTTGTGGAGGAGGGTCAAAATAGTCAAATGGCAGTTACAGCATTAACACTGTCTATCAATCTCTTATATACACATACCAAAAAAAAAAAAAAAAGCTTCAGTGCATGGGCATGGCCACAATTTTGCCAGTTTACCTGGGCAGGCGGAGAAACACTAAAGGTAAAAAGTTCATCCCAAGTCTTTTAATCCCTGTGTAGCAAGCTATTTACCTTTAAAAACTCAGTTTCTCATCAAAAGTCAGATCTATAGAGCAGTTGTCCCTCCCCTCCTTATACTGTGTCAGACAAATCTCACATTCAGCTGAGTTTTTCTTCGCTCAGGCTAGTGGTCATACACCAGGTTGTCTTTGGAAAATACTATCCAAAGCAGAATGCAAGGCACAGGCTTTACAACCTGACTCTCCCAAAGTGTGTGGAAGATGATCTAATTTAGTATCCAACTTGATGACCACAACTCATGAAATAACTGAAATTCAAGAAACGTGCCAATGCTACTCTTGAAGTTTTGTAACACTTTGCACATAAAGCAGCATAAACTTAATAGGAAAACCACCTAAAATGTCCACAGATGTGAATATCTTTCAACTGTAACAAGCTACCAGGATAACAGAGTCCAGAGAGTCCAATCTAAACTAAAAGAGGCATAGGAAGGTTATTTCCGCCTATATTGTTCAGATTTCCTAACAGACTTGATATGGATCTTCTACCCTAGTATTGATTCTCCTTTGTTGCATATGCCTTTTAATGCAGGTTACAAAATTCACTTGTCTCAGAACCTTTTCACAAATAAAGCACAATACAAATATAAGGCCTATCTCACTCCAAATATTCTCTAAATGCATCAAATATATGACTTTCAGATGCATTTATAACTAGAAGACATCAACCAATATTATCAATGTTTATTAAAAAAAACATGTAGGGCATTAGGTTGGAGAAATTTGCTCTAGAGCTACCTTATTCAATTTGGGTACCTATCAAGTACATGGTTTTCAATTACCATAATTAATCAGCAAGGCTATCGCTAAGGATTCTGGGAACTAACGTACAGCTTCCAGGTTGAGGACAATTTCTACATAGCACATATTTAAAATTCCAGCTAAGCTTCTATTCTCCTAAAAGGAAAACAAAACCTATACTGAAAAATATTCAGGATCATTATTGTCCGGGGAGGTTCAGCCTCCTCCAATCCTTCAAAAATGTTCCAACTCATCAGCTAGAATCCTGCTGCTTCCCTGCTTGAAGAATCTCTCCAGATGTCTGGAGTTTTAATTTTAACTCACTCTGGTTGAAGCCAAAATCCAGGATGAAACATTGCTAATTCGGAGATCGGGAAGCCCCATATTGAACGAGAGGGGAAATTTTATGACGCCTGAAGACACAGAAAAACACCTTACTGGTTTCCTCTGATGTCTTCCTTCCCCTTTTGGGGGGGCAAAAACAACAAGAAGATTTGCATAAAACCTGTTTTCCGTTTCCCGCACGACAGCAGCAGAAGCAGGAAGGCAATGGCCAAGATAGCAAAGACTTTCGGATAGGCAGGACCATATCCTTGTTTAATGAAAGCTTGTTACACTCCGAACCAGACATAGCGGGGGAAAAAAGCCCACGCCCCCCCCCAAAAAAATACTTCCTTCGCGCTAGACACGGAAAAAGGAAAGGAAAAAAAAATCTGCGTTGCCCAATAGCGACAGATCTTTCAAGGAAAACCGAGAGCAGACGTCGTCTATTTTTAAACCGACGCTGCTGCTATTATTATTATTATTATTATTATTATTATTATTATTATTATTATTATTATTATTTATTGAATTTATATACCGCCCTATCTCCCTTACGGGACTCAGGGCGGTGAACAGGCGATAATAAAAACCACGATAAATATACACAAGTACGAGTACCGTATACAGGAATTATTATTAATTTTTTTTTTGGCCTTTTGCCGTCGTCTATCAGCCAGTAGGACGAGGTCGGCGTCTCTCTCTCGCTACTACACCATTTTAGGTGCGACGCGCGCAAGCCAACAACAGGCCGAGCTCTTCAGCACACCCTCATTCCACGACGAGCGGAGGGGCTGGGAACATGGGGACTGCTCGGGCCGGGGAAGACCGAGGCCTTTGGAAACCCCCGAAGGCCGGGACCGAATCGCCAAAGGCGGCTCTCTTTCCCAGGTCGAGGAAAATCCCGCCCACCGACCCAACTGGGGGAGGGGAATGGGGGGGCATTAGAGATCTCTATGACGTTATCTCTCGGAACGCGGACGTAAGAATGGCCGAGCGGCCGGGCTTCCACGAAGCAGGCCGGGACGGTCCGTTCAACGCCGCTCCCCCCTTCAACTCCTCGCTGTGGGGAGAGGAAAGTCCGAAGGGGGAGGGGCAAGCCCCGGAACACGGTGACACCCTCGGAGGAACCCCACGAAAGGCGCCTCAGAGGCAACAGGGGGCGGGGGTGAGTGGGGGTCGCAAGGTTGCCATAGGAACGGAAACCGAAAGAGGCGGCCCAGCCGTCGTCTTACCCGCCACAGAGAAGGCGTCCCGTCGCGGTTACAACAGCTGCAGCTACTGTTCTGATCGAACTGTACGTGTCTCCGGCCTCGAACGCCTCCGCCCCGCCTTTTATCTCCTCCCCACCTGCCATTGGGTAGTTTCATCCTCAAGGTCCCGCCTATTGGTGTTTTTTTTTTCCCGAAGACTTCTGCGTTCTTCTTCATTGGCTGAGAGGTGGCTCTTTTCCCTTGCTATTGGTCCCGCGGCCGCGCCCAAGCGGCTGCTATTGGTTCATACCGGACGAAGGAGCACATCATACACAGACGCACGCACATACAGATACGTACGTTCGCGACGTTCATTGGTTTCTTTATTGGTAGGCGACGCCCATGATGAGTTGAGATTTTATTGCCCTTCTTCCCAAGTTCTCCTTCCCCAGAAGCGGCGCGCGGCCCCTAGCGGAAGGAGTGCAACATTACAGAGTGCTGGCTGCCACGCAACCGCCATTAGGAGGAATTGACTTTGCTGAGTGCGGAGGAGTTTTAGTTGCGTCTGAAGCAGCCAAGCCTGGAGCGCAGCCTGCTGATAGGAGCCTCTCATTACAGGCAACGTGCACTGCCAAGCTGCCTATTATTGTGACAAATTTTCTGTAGCTCTAGATTTGCACAGAGCCGGACAATAGACTTTTCACGCTTTGAAAGCAAAAGCTGCAATACTGCATTTCCTTTCAAGCATTTGCGGAAAGCTACAGCACGGCGCTCTGCCGTTGACAACAATTAATTCAATGCTAGCACGTGAGAAAGTGTAATCTAAAACCATAATACTTTTAGTTACAAGATATCACAATCAGTACCTAACTGTGAAAACGAAATACAACTTACAACAGTTCATTTAGTGACCGTTCGAAGTTAGAACGGGACTGAAAAAGTGACTCACGAGTCATGACCATTTTTCACACTTACGACTGTTGTTGCAGTATCCCTATGGCCACATGATTAAAATTTGGATGCTTGGCAACTGACTTATATTTATGACGGTTGCAGTGTCCTGGAGTCATGTGATCCCCTTTTGCGACCTTCTGACAAGCAAAGTCAATGGGGAAGCCAGATTCAGTTCACAACCATGTTACTTAACAACTGCAGTGATTCATTTAACAACTGTGGCCCAAAAGGTCATAAAATGAGGCAAAATTCACTTAACGAATGTTTCACCTTGCAACAAAAAGTTTGGGTTCAATTGTGGTAAGTCACGGACGACCTGTACACATTACAGTTTCATTTTCAAACTAATCTCTTCAAAGGAGATTAAAGTTTAAATACTAAAGGTGGATTACACAGAAGGCTAAGATCTGTCATTCTATTCTGCAGGACATGGCTGTTGAAAATTAGGAAAAACTGAAAAATAACTGGATAGCTGAAGCTGCTGGCAGGCTCCTCATTAGAAGTTACTAGCTATCTGTGGAGGATGCTTTACTTTGGATTCCTAAGCTTGGGCTTCATGACTCAAATGGCCTCTTCCAGCTCTATAATGCTTTGATTCTTGCATGTGGGATAATAAGGAGGAAGAGTCATACATTCCTATTTCTGAGCCTCATTTGGTTGAGGTGTTTTATTTAAAAAGATCTCAAGAAATTGCAATGTTTCTGGTGGGGGACAACAAAAGTAGTAAGTGGCCTCATACCTATGTTCCCCAGAGAATAGCTAGAGGAATGTTATATATTTACCCTAGAAAAGTTAAAGTTATGAATATAGCGTGACTGCCATATTCAGAAGCCATATTAATATTCATATTAATAATTCAGATTGAATGTAAATTAGAAAATCAGCAGCTCTAATCACATTTACTAGCTAGAGACTATATATCACTGAATTCAAGGAACTCATTTCCAAGTAGCAAAGATTAAACCTAAAATCAATGTAATTTGATTTAGTATGGGTGATTTTGTCTGCCAGTTTGGAATTTAGCATCATTTATATGCTGATAAAACCCAGTTATAACTTTCAATCCTGGTCCAGCCAAGTGAGGCTATCAAGGTTCCATCCCAGTGCCTAGAGGCTGTACAGGTTTGGATGGGGAGGAAGTGTCTCTGACTCAGTCCTACCCTGATCGAATTGTTGTGGATTTTGGAACTGCCCAGATTTTGGGATATTCCATCTCTGACTTTGCATGAGGTAAACTTCCCCCCTCAGAATCAGTAGGGACTTCTGGTTTGCATCGTAGCAATGCGACTGAGGGATTGTGGGGCTCCACACCCCATGGCTGGTTTCATCCTGTCAGGGGACCCTAAATGGGTCGAAAGTTGCCCTGGAGAGGTGATGAAGAAGGAGGAAACCCTGGTTGATCACGGAAAGACAGCGGTCGATCCGGGGAAAGCCCTCCAAATCAGCAGGAGAAAGGCTAGCTGCACTTCCATGACTAGCCCAAACTACCGACAACCGAAGCAAAAAAGCACCAACTAGAACAGATTCTGAACAACGTGTTTGGAACTGGGTGAGAATATCGATCTTTTCTATTTTACAATTGGATTGCCTGGAAAAGGCCCCCAAGAAGCAAAAAAAAACAAAAAACCTCTCTGAAAGTGAGAAGGGGATTGAAGCCCCACCCTTCCATAGATGGAAGTGGCGTTTTAATTTTTATGGGGGACAGAAATACATTGAAGTGGAATTAATATAAAGCTATAGTTTGGACAAACCTAAAAAATGAGGAAATTGTTAAGATTTTCTCTGAAAGAGTATAGGGATGAAATTACAAGAAAATAATTTTCTGTTTTAAAAGTCGGAAAATGAATATTTAATGACATCTACTGGTGGATCAGAGTATAGCATTACAACTGCCTTGACTGAGAAATTGGCAAGACGCCCAGAAAACTTGTTCCTTTGATGCCCAGTGACTCTAAGTTTAATAAAGAACAGCTGGGAACAGAGGAAAATACATTGGGCTATCTACCACAGAATGAGAACTACAATTGTTATAAAAACTGCTCACCTTCCTGGATTATAAACATCTACTGAGCTTTGATTTTTAAGCTTAAGAACTATTTGCAGAGAAAGAAAAATCTTGACTTTTGGCTACTTTTGTAGGGGAGAGGCTCTTGGATTGTTCTTGTTCTTAGGTGGTTGAACATTTTGGACTGCACATTTTGGCTAATTGATAATTGTTGGACCCCTGAGCAGAAGAACTGTTATAAAACATTGTTTTTAGTGGTGGATTAACAACTGGGAACATTTTTGATTATAAAGACCATAAGAACTATACAAGACTTTGCTGTATGGACCTTAAAATTGGTTGTATTAGATAAGGCTAATACTTGGGGATTATGGTATTTTTGATAGAATATCTGGAGGGGGGAGATAAAATGGATGCTGCATATCTAATCAAAAGTGGTAGGAAACCACACCCAATACTCTCATCTGAAGCCCCCAGCCCGGTATATCAGGGATCTGCAGGAGTGACACCTCAAGACAAGGCAAACACCTTCCAGGAGGAAATGCATGCTATGCTGCAATTAATTCAAAAGACAATTCTTTCACATAAAGAAGACACAAGAAAAAACCATGATGAGAATAAAAATAATTTAGACAACATAAATGAGCAAATCTTTAATTTAAGCTCACAACTAAAAAAAACTCTCAGAAAATGAGGACAAAGAATGAACAAACAAGTCAGAAAACAAAACATAAACCAGAAGAAAGTGACCAAAAGATGGAGGCTACAAACCTTATAATATTGGAAATGGAAAAGGCACCTTATCTTTCAGGACTTCAAAATATACCTGAGGACAAGAAAGAAGATCTGATAAAATGGATTATAGAGTTGTCAGGAGAATCACTAGAGTTTGGGAGACAAAAAATGAAAAGAGAAGTTGAGGGAGAAGGAAAGTGGGAGCTGTTTAATGAATATAAATCGGCGAAACTCCCCCTCAAACACACTTCACCTAAATTGTCTCTCCCATTCCAAACAACATCCATAAAAATATAGGAAAAATTCTTGGCGATTTGAATACACTGACTTGGAAAGTGGCTTGGCAAAGGAAGAAGGCTAGATTTAGACTTAAGATTTGACCTACCAGATGGGGTATTACACAACTAAATATTTATTTGAATATGGTTAATAGAATAGATAACTTTTGGATATAAATGGATTTTATAGTAAGAGGGATGTGATTTATAATTAGAATAGCACTTTTTTATGGTACGGAAAATGTAAAAATATTGGGATGGCTTATGTGAGTGAAATGTTCGGACACTTAAATGTAACTAACTTGGAGAAAATCATAACTGACAAGAATATTTTGAATAATGATGGGAAACTAAATTTAAATAAGAGCTCAAAAATCAGGATCTACATTGATTCAATAAGAAGACCTTAATTGCAAATACAACTGAAATATAAGCTGGTTAGAAAAGATGTTATATACTGATATTATTGTTATTTGTATAAACACTACAAAAACGCCTATATCTAATTTTGTATGTATCAATAATTCCAAGAACTGTATTTGCTTAATGTTGGTAAAATGAGAACATTACTGGAAGAAGAGAGGATCAAGGAAGTGTATTATTATCCAACATGTTAACTATGGAATTATATAAATTAATTACTATTAATCATTGTTAAATATGTGAACCCAGACAACACATTGTTTACTAAGCACCATATATATATAATACAGACAGACAGACAGACAGACAGACAGACAGACAGACAGATAGATATAAAGAATCAGTAGGGTGTCTAGGGATCTTCTTGGATTCACAACTCCTACTAGAGTAGGGGTGTCAAACTGCCGGCCCATAGGCCAGACGCGTCATCCAGAAGCCTCGCCCACCCCATTGCCGGCAATGGCAAAACAGTCCCGATACGTCTTGTGACATCACGTGACATCACGAGCTTAACATGTCTGTTAGAGGAACAGTGTCAGCTGTGGCCAGGAAGGTCTTTCCACAACACTATCTGGTGCATCACTTGCACCCTTTCCTAGGTGAGTTAGACAGTCACTCATGCCCTGGTCACCTTGTGGCTTGATCACAGCAACATGGTTTATATAGTACTGTCCTTGAAGACCACTAGAAAACTTTAAATGGTCTGGAATGAAGCAGTGCAAGCAGTAATGGACATGCCTATATAA